GGTTTACAGAGAGTCAGCATATTGCCCCCAACAATCTGGGTCCTCATTTTACCCACCTCGGAAGGATGGAAGGCTGGAATAGGGCGGCATATAAATAAAATGAAACTTCAAACTTCAAACTAAAATTTAAAATATATTAAAAATACAGCTGTGCTTCTGTACCATTTTGTAAGAAAAGAATTATTACTAATACATTATTGGTTTGGGGGACGGGTCTTTTTTTATGCCTTCAAAGCAGTGTTGACTTCTGGAGACTGACTGGATGAATCCCTGCAGTTTTCCTGGAAAGGTTTTTCAGAAGTAGTTTGGCACTGCTACCTTCCCCGGGCTGAGAAATAGGAACTGGGCCAAGGTCACCCAGCTGCCTTTATGCCTAAAGCATGACTACAACTCTTGGTTCCCTCCAAATACATTAGACTATATTTTTCTCAATTGCAGAAAATACGACTTCAGCAACAGAGTGGTCAATGCCTGGAATGCACTACCCGACTGTGGTTTCTTCCCCAACCCCCCCATAGCCTCAACCTTAAACTGTCTACTGTTGACCTCACCCCATTCCTAAGAGGTCCGTAAAGCGCACCAACGTGCCTAGCATCTCTGTCCCAATGTTCCCATTTATTTGTACCCATTTCCCGTGTTCTTATTCATGTTTATTCTTATTCCTGTTATCTTGTACACCAGGGACAAACTAATTAAAATAAATAAATAACTCCCATCAGCTGCTCTTAGTATAACCAATAGCCAATAATGGCAACTGTAGATTTAAAGAGGGAAAACGGCTATGCTGGTGCACCCATTCATTCTCATGGTACCTAAAAGCAACACAGTGCTCCATCAAATGATCTAAAATGGCATGATGGGCTGGCCACCTGCTTTCCTTGCTGTCAATCAACTCAGCAGGCATGCACTTAAATCAGAGACAAAGCATCGCCTTTTAGCCACCAATGTGGAATGTAAATTGTAGACTGAGTCATTTTAAGGAGCTGTAGAATTTTCAGAAGAGAATAAATAAGGACAGGAAGGGCCATTGCAATCCTAAGTAGCTAGTTATATGATACAATAGTTCAATTGGCTTATAAAATACATTATGTAAGGTAAGATTATATAAGAGCTATGGAATTCTGCAAAGATTGTTATTGAGTAAATGTATTGAAGACCAAACTGTCGAACTACACTCATCAAGAGATATCTCCAGCATGTGGGCCAAATAGTCAAGATGGGGGCTGCATTTTGTAAGCAAACTGGGAAGCAAAACTCTAGTTGAGGACATAAAAAACAGGTGGCGCTTTGATTGCACAGTTGCAAATGCCATTCTGATATTTTTTTAAAATCACATTCTGTGAATACGACTCCTATGAATACTCTGCAAAACCCAAGTACGGCAATCATGCATTTATGAATTTATTTTCTTTAGCCAATTCAGGTGGCCTCCTTCCGAGCGAGCCAATTGCACTTTGTTAACCTAATCTTGTTTGTGTAGCTTCTTCTCTGGTAATATTGAACTGCTAACTGGAGCATACAAAACATTTGTCAGACCAATTCTCGAATACAGCTCATCTGTCTAGAACCTGCACTGCATATCAGACATTAATACAATTGAACAAGTCCAGAGGTATTTAACGAAAAGAGTCCTCCACTCCTCTGCTCACAACAGAATCCCTTATGCCACCAGGCTTGAAATTTTGGGCTTAGACAATTTAGAACTACGCCACCTTTGGTCTGATCTAAGNGGGAGCCAGGCGTGCACCACAGGCATGCGCTCTGCGCACGCATGCACACCCACTGCCTGTGATGCTGCAGCTGCTTGGCGGAGCATCACACAGCCGCTGTACGCTGCGCACACGTGCGGGAATGGCCCGTTTCCTTCAAATACAGGTAAGGAGCGCGGGCGGGCAGGCGGGCCCTCCAAAGCACTGTTCCGGTACTGTGGCTGCTGCTTCCGGCAGGCTTCCGGGACGTACTGCCTGCAACCCACCACTGGATCAGAGGTACAGATTTCCCAGCTGTTAATGTCCATTCCCAAGGCCTTTCGATCCCTTTTGCAGATATCCTGATATCACAGCTGTGATCTCCCTCTGGGGCCCTTTCCCTGCACTAATTCTCCATACAAGAGATCTTTCAGAATGTAACCATCGGCCATTCTCACGACATGCTCAAGCCAGCATAGACGTCGCTGTTTCAATAGTGTATATATGCTAGAAATACCAGCACATAAATAAAGGATGTAAATAAATGTTCCACTTTTCCACATATAAAGACAACTTATCCTCCTACATTGTTTTTGTTCTTTTCGATGCGGGTGAGCAAAGGTTGGCTAAAAGAGGCTGGGTGATTGTACCAAGATGCTTTACCTGCATGGCTTATGACCAGATCTGCTTTTTTAACATCTTCGGAAAGTGAGCTCTTGAATCTGAACACTTCCAGAGTAAATGTGGCTGTGCTGAATGAATCTGGACACTCTTTGCCTCGGCCAACCTGAAGGACAAGCTGGTGACAGCCAAGATCCTGTAAAGCCTGCATCAGAAAAAAACATATTGTTAGATCCCTAAAAGTGATACTGCCATTCAATTGGGAGGAGAGGGGCCTTGGAGTCAATTTATTAACAGTGCCTGAGACAACTGATATTTTACAACTGGTTTCCTGGCTCCAAAATGCCTTGAGATCCCACCACCTTTGGGGGGAATGTTTATGATGGCCATGTGGGATGTTTCACTTTAATGTCTAACAGAAGACAGCCATGGGAATGTATCTTTAGTCGACTCTCAGGGCAGCTGGTGAAGGGACCACCTTCACACTTGTGTGTTGCCTAAAATCTGCATTCTGACAAATGGGAGGGGTCTCTACTGCTTTAATTGTACTTGCATTGCCTAAGGGGATTCAGATGTTGCTTTGAATTTAATGGCTTCCATTCTTCTTAATAAAAGGTTCCTTTTGAAATACTCCGTTTCAAGAGTCTTCACTTTCTTACTTTAGAAGGGGAGCCCTTACATATATATTCTGAGGTTAAAAATGAAGTCATTAAAACCATGATAGCGAACCTATAGCACACGTTCCAGGGGTGGCACGCAAAGCCCTCTCTCTGGCCACGTGCTCCATTGCCAAATGCTTTTCCAGGTTTCGGCACGTGCATGCACACTGGCCAGCTGGGTTTTTTTGCACATGGGAGTGCCAGAAACCAGAAAACCAACTGGCCGGTGTGCACATATGCACCAGGCAGCTGCTCTTCCAGTTTCCGGCAGTGCCATACATGCAAAAATGAGCTTGCCAGCATGCAGGTGTGCACATGCACACACATGCATTCTGGTTTCGGCACGCACCCACATGTGTATTCTGGTTTCAGCACTCGGTGCCGAAAAGGTTCTCCAACACTGCATTAGAAGCTACAAAGGTGAATTTATTTCTCTCTCCAAGAGAAGAAAAGGTGCATGACACACTATTTACAAATGTGCTTCTCAAAAAAATATTGGACTAAAATACGTTTGTGGTTGGAAAAAATGATACAACATATTGACTTAAAACCTGAAATATTTTTGCTGGGGATTTTACCAGAAAATTATAGTAAAGAAAATTTATATTTGATTATTCATGTTATAACAGCAGCTAGGATTGTATTTGCACAAAATTGGAAAAGTGAAGAGATCCCTGCAGAGGAGAATGTGATTTAGGAAAATATTAGAATGTGCAGAAATGAACAGACTGACATTGGCTATCAAAGAGAAAGAACAAACCGATTATTATACAATTCGGGAATCTTTTTTTCCGGTGGTTCGAGAATAGACACAAGAATTAAAAGTAAAAAAGGTTATCTAAAGCAGTGGTCTCCAACCTTGGCAACTTTAAGACCTGTGGACTTCAACTCCCAGAGTTCCTCAGCCAGCTTTGCT